AGCTTGCTTCCCACAAGAAACCACATGTAATGTAATTACTAATAACTGAAAATTATGAAGACAAAGAAGAAGATGACTAGAGTATACAAAAGATTGGCATGAAGTATTTTGCTTTTGTTGTAAATAGGCCAACTTTGCTATTATTGGAGAATGAGGAACCGAACTTAGAACCTTGATGCATGGATAAATGCTCTTAAATACTGGAGCTACAAGTAACCTTGAACAATAAGCTCGCCTTCCTTTTCCCTCAACTTGGCTAAGCTTAAGCTGTTTTTCCCTGCTGTACAGAACATTGGATCTTAAAATTCTACATAACATTGGGCCCAATAGAAGTTGGTTCGGGCTTTGTATAGAAACTCTGAACAAAGTGCTTGTCTAAAACTCCATGGGCCTTGGCTTAGGACATATTATGGTGGGCCTGCAAAACCTCACTCCACCAGTAATAATTCTGTTGCATCTTCTTCTAAGATAAGGATGCTGGGAAACTATAAGCTTTTCGATAATTAACTTCATACCATCTAATAATGCCAGTGATATGGGAGGAATTTACTAATTATTGACTATACAACAGAAACTATTGCTGTGTTTTCGACAGTCGTTTGGACTTGCAAAGTTGTTTATAGCATTTACATAATAATACAAGCCAAAGAGGATTACATAAATTTGAGTACTGAAAGCACGTTGTTGTGTAGGGGATCAGAAATGTGTTCAAGGAGGTTCTGTACAGGACCTTTACCTGTCAATGCTGCTTGACTGTAGAAGCCTAACCAGGCTACCATCGCTAGCCGCCCATTTTTGATCTCTTTCACCTTCAGCTCTTCAAAAGCTACAGGGTCTCGGGAGAGGTTCAAGGGATCAAAAAGCTCTCCTCCAGGGTAATTAACATCACCTGGAAGGTAAATTCCCAACGGCTCTAATGCTTCAATCCCACAATATCTTGCATATTCTGGTCCAACCTAGTCACCGTCAAATGTTTGAAATAAATGAAAAACATGTCCACATTTCGAGTTGCGAAAGACATGCTTCAATCAGAAATATGAGAAGCAAATCTGTAAAGCAGGGCTATATCTTTTGGCCAGTAGAAAAAGGTTTTAGAACCTAAAACCTCAGATAATTAAGCTAGTTAATAATTCATCCTTTTTATCAGATTACCCATTTAACACCATGAATGGTTCAATTTTGGAATGGTGTGGTTGTCATGCAGAGATGCATGCACACACAATCTTTGCAAGTAAATGTGATCAACATAGTATGAAAATGAACTCTTCCGGACTATGCTGTAAAGACAATCTCCCGTGGGACAATGAATTTTTCTGGACAATGCAAGGAAACAATTTCCATTTCCAACATTATGCATGCTAAATTCTATCACAGAAATGAATGAACAATATCCTTAAGAATAAGTTTTTTCAGGTTCTTGAATGAGCCTTCAAGAGCCCCATTCCAGACAAACTAACATCAACTAAGCATAATTGGAAACACCTGGTTAAAATGATGAAATCTGAAAATCTAGCTCTTTCTAGGTACAGTCCATGAATATGTAAGACAAGATGGGGGCTTTAAAATTTCATTACCATCAGGAGGGCTTGGCATATGGCTATAACAATCACTCCTTGGCTTCCAGCTACATGCAGTCCTGGGATGCCTAGGTAGTCCAGTGTATCTCCCTGGTGAACATTGATAAGCCAAAAGGAAAATAAAGTTAATAAAAACAGTTCACCTCGCATATGTTCATACCAAATTAAATAAGAGTTTTATTTAAACTCGTAAGACAGATGACAGTCAAATCAGGGGTATACAGGAACAATTATCCCCTAGCAATAATGGATCGGAAATAGTTGAGAATTTTCAGCTGTTATTCACTTCAGGGAGAAACTTAACCCACCGCAATCTACTTGCAAATTATGCCAAGATATATCACAAGCCAGGTAAGGACCTACCCATTTCTATGCCAACTTTTAACAATACCTGCATGGGAGCCTTACCACAAACATTTGACCATATGTTGTAAGGATCTTACACTGACAAATAAGTTACAAACAGTTTGCAAAAGACAAAATCATGGCTTGGAGACAAAGGAAACACTATTTAAACCATAAATATCTGCAAAAGGTAGGGACTTACAAACCTAACAAACTTGTGACATTATGTCTACGCCATGGTAGGATGAAACAGAAACCGGAAAACTGATAACCTAAAACATATTGTGAGCTACCAATGTATTAGCAGTTGAAAATCATTTGGAAACTATCTCCACCATAAATGACTCTCTATTTGATTATACATGAATTTGGACCAAATTGGCATAAGTTTATTTTATTTTATTTATATTTTATACACCTATCATTTCCGCTAGATATAGTCATCATCCCTAGACAAATCAAGGTTCAGTAGGCTCAAGCTGGCCTCCATTTTCTTGAGCAAACCTATGCCATGGCCTATGATTAGATTATACAAGAAAAGGGATGATACAGCCAGCCCAAATAATACATACCAAGAAAATTGATCAATAAAAAGGTTAGTCCAACGCAGAAAATACTAACCTTAAGTTTTGAATAGCCAACTCGCCACCATACAGGTTCAACAAAGTGAAAGGCCCCTAAGAGGTCCAAAATTTCAGGAATCAAGGCACCAAGGGCTGCTAGCATGGCCCAACGAGCATGGAGTATTTCGAAGCTGCAGGGTAAATTACATATTTATTTAAAGCCATTTACAACCAATGACATAGCATAGTAAAACACTTTGAAAACAGTCTTCCTTTAGATGAATCATTGCAGAACTGAACACTTAACCCTCCAGAGTAATACGAAAGCACTTAGACAAGATCTATACAATATTGTGATTCGGGAAAGTTGAAGGGATATATCTTATAACACTATGGTTACCAAAGCCTAAATCAACGTACAACAGTTTGTCACCCTAATTCTATTCCAAAGTTCAAAATTGTGAAAAATAGCATAACAGTTAAAATCATATGGGATTATGGAGTAAAATTGAAACAGATATTCAGTGAGAAGATTATATTCAAGATGATTCCCTGTGTCATAAAGGGACCCAAGTAACTTTGACTTACTTAAAATATTTTTGGAAAGCCACAGGATCCCTGCTCAGACCTACAACATCAAAACCATAATCCCCAGGTAGTTCTCCAGTCAGATATGCAGGATAATCATAAGGAATTGGACCAAGCCAGCGGGGACGCTCTTCTCCATACCACAAGCTGTGAAACAGAAAATATACCATATAGTGAATCAGTGTTTACAATAAGTTACAAATTCTATACTGATCTTCTAATTTGACATAAGCTCGAGAATAATATTAATAATATTTTTTTTTAAATTTCTAAAACCACAATGTTTTTGTTTTTGTCAATATACAGTTAGTAGTTAGCATAGCTGTTAGTCTCCAAAACAAGGTCCTCAATGAAAACAGCAAATGGTTAGTTTTCCATATGATGACATATTTTTATTAGACCTGAGCAAATGACATACAGAAAATGATTAGGCCAATTCTTAGATAGAAATGTGCACCAAAAATAGGCTCAATAGCTACTGATACTATGCTTCCATAAATCATCGATGGGTTTGTATAGGAGAGACTTGTCACTACTACTAGAGAGAACACATGATTTCATTTTTCCATCAGAGTGCAAACACTCTTTTATATGGCATTGGCTGGCTACAGCTACACTACACTACACAGATGGATGGATGGATGGGCATGTCCTACTATTGCAAGTGATAATTGGGATCCAACAACTGTCTCTGGTGATGATAATTTTATCTCCGTAGAGAAATAGAGAATGGCTTACCCGAAAATTACCTCTGTTTTCGAGCCTTTTCGGCCAAGCCCCTAAACCTGGAAGAATTCTCAACGGCAACTTTCTTCCTTTCCTCCAATCGCCTCTGCAGCGACTCTCCGACTGCGCTGTTGGCTATGGCTTTCACAGCCGTGAATGGAATCGCCGAGAACACCACAACTCCCACAAGCTTCACACCAATAAATATATGCAACGTTAATTAAGAAAAAGAATTATAACAAAAAATTGGTACTGATGACAGAAAGGGAGAGCGGAGCGGACCTCTTGCCATGAAGCTTTGCAAACAGAAGAACGAGGCTTAGTAAATGTGAGGTTGGTGGGGGATTTTAGAGCCAGAGAGTGAGGATAATGAATGAAAGAGGAAACTGAACAAGGCGAAGCTCGTGGCTGAAGCAGCGCCATGCTGTATTCTAGTCGGAGTTAAGTTTATAAGTCATGTTTTGTTTTTTTCAATCAAAATATAAGTTACGTTATGCGGGTGGTGGAAATGGAAGAGCATTTTTGTTCGGTTTTGTTTGATTTTGCAAGACTTGACTTGGACAGATTTCAACCCCTCCCTCACATATGCCTATTTAAATCCACCAAATTTTGAAGACGTGGTGTGAGGTTAGTTGATCAAGGCAATGTGCCCATCCCTACACTCAAATTTAAGTCCCTCCTATTTTCTTGAAGAATGGAGCAAAGCTTGCAAAGTGTTCGACTAAATGTCTCAAAAGAGGAGCTGAGAGAAGGGCAAACCTAACAGATTACATCCCCAATACTCAATTATTGGCAAATTGCTGCCCACACCACATGTTCCACTATTAGTTTTAGTATCAGCAGCTTATGTACAAAAATAGTTGAAAGCTTAATCAGCATTTGATTTTGCCCCATCAAGAAATATTCCTGGATCCGTCACCTTTCACCTTTCTTCGTAGATTAGATTAATGAGTAAAACAAAGGATGGGCAGTAATTGTTAGTAAACTGTAATGTAACACCAATCCATCCATGTACAATGATGGGCATCACAAACAAGGACACCAACCGAACATAGCATAAATATTTCTAATTAGGATATTTGGGCATTAAGCATACAAAGGAAAACGCTTACATAAGCACAAACTACCTAGACATAGAAATTAATACAATACAAAGATGGATGATGATCGGGAATTCAACATACTAATTAATTAAACAATTTTAATCCTCGTAGATCCGGCACTCGTCGGTTTCAGGGTTGTCTTGACAGAAGGACTCGAGAGGATCTTTGTTGGTCTCCAATTTGAGCCTGAGATCGGCCTTGGCTTGGCTGACCTCCTCCACCTCGTCCCAGGCGACCTTGCACTCGTCGGCGATGGGATCTCCCTCGCACACTTGCTTTGCTTCCATCACTTTCTTCTCAATCATCTCCGTCAGTTGCTTCTCCCTCATCTGCGTCCCTTTGAACTTCCCCTGCACCCCACCACTTTTCGTCCCACATTTTATCATCCTATTCTTATTATTATTGTCCGATCTCAGGCACAAAGAGGAAGAAGAAGGCGATGATAAATCATTAATCTTCTTCTTCAAATAAGTTTCAGACAAACACATCACACCCGATCCCGATCCTCCTGATAAACAAGCCATCTGCTGATCTGATTGATCCTTCAATCTTCACTTCTTCTATGCGTCCTCCTACCTACAGCAACCAAACAAACAAACAATGTCCATGGGCCTATTAATTAAACCTGAGTGCCCTGCTCCCTACTCAAATACGTGGGCCCTTGACGGATTTACCTAAATACCCCAATAAAATACATCTTTCCTTTTATCTTTCTCTGTTTCCGGTAGGGTATCATTGGTACGTCCTATGGTAGGCATAGGATAAGGTTATTCATTCAATTATTTGTCACGAGACACCAAGGAAGCAATATCCTTATCTACAACAACAAACTCTAGCTGCTCATATAAAGTCCAAGATGAAATCTTCCAATCACACAACACAAAAAAGTCCCCCTTTTCTTTTTTCTTGTGCTCCTGTTATCACATTTAATAACCAGGCGCCCACAAAAGCCCACGGTTTTTATAGACCAAAAATCCAAAAACAAAAAAAAGTCCACGGTTTTTGGTGTGCCCTTCTATCTATGTTTTTCTAAAGATCAATAAATAAATCTAAATATCAAACATTATTTTGAGATTTTTTTTGAAAAAAAAAAAAAAAAAAAAAAAAAAAAAAAAAAAAAAAAAAAACAATTAAAATTAAAAAAACAAATCAATTAGGGTTTTTAACTCAAATGGTCCACACAATTTGCATTTTAGTCTCTTAATTAAATTATCTGTTCAAATGGTCCGCATACTCTTTATTATTCGAGCATTTGGTCCCACAAATGTTGTCTTCAAATGTAAGAGTATAACCCCACATCCTCGTCAACATCCATCCTCATCCCTGGCCAGCCATCATCTTCCTAGCTAACATGGTCATCATCTTCCCAAACTTAAAAAATCAATCAAACCCAACCAATTAGCGGGGAGAGATGACCATCCTTCCACATCAATCTAAGCCACCCATTCCTCTCTATATGAACCTCCCCCTCCAACCTCATTCCAATCTTCCTCAAACCCAACCAAAGAAACAATCTTTAGGTCGTTTAGCAATAGCGTCATATTCAAAAGCAAAAGCAATAATATCCCAAATTCCCAATACTCAAGTCAGTGGCTAGACTTGGTCTAATTTGCTTAGTTATAGCTGGGTTCATGGTGCTTCAAGTTATGGTTGATAAATCTGAGGGTTTGGAGCTGAACCCATTTTGCATGTGCTAGGGGATGGGGTTAGGGAGTTGGGATCAGAGTGGGGGAGAATGAGATTGGGTTGGGGGTGGGATGGGTTTTCTTTTGGGGTTATTAGGTTTATCACATCTTCGAATGTCTTCAATGTTCTAACCTTCAAAGAAGACAACATCTCTACTTCTAATTCTAGCTATAGGATCTCATAACCTGTAACTGAATTCTTCATTCTCATATCCTACGAAGATACATTTTTTCGACTTCGCGTCAAGCTTAGATATTTCGTCTTTAGGAATATGAACAAAAACTATACAACCAAACACTTTCAGATGATTGTAGGAAACGTCTTTTCTAGATAAGAACTTGTTCTAGACATCACCATTCAAAAGAGCTGAAGGAGAAATGTTGAATAGATCAACCGCAGTCGTTAGGGCTTCACCCAAAAAGCTTTTGGGCAGCTTGGCATGAGATAACATTGTTCTTATTCTTTCAACAATTGTTCTATTCATTCTCTCAGCTATGCCATTATGCTGAGGAGTCTTCGGAACATATCTTTCATGCCTAATTCCATTACTTCTACAGTAGTTTCTGAATGCTCCCTTATATTCTTCTCCGTTATTAGTGCGAATTCATTTCAAGCTTCTACCAGTCTCTCGTTCAATGCTAGCATTAAACCACTTGAAAACTTCATACACTTGATCTTTTGTTCTAAGTGCGTAAGCCTATACATTCCTAGAATGATCGTCAATGAAGGTAACAAAATATCTTGCACTACCAAGAGTACTAGTGGTCATAAGACCACAAACATCAGAGTATATAACATCTAATACATTGGGTTTTCTTTGTGCAGGTCCATGTTGAAACAAAGCTCTATGTTGCTTTCCAGCTAAGCAATGCGTGCATGATTTTAGAGGCATGCCTTTCTTCATCCTAGTTAGTGCCTCTCTTTTGGCTAGAATTTGTAATCCTTTCTCGCTCATGTGACCGAGCCATTTATGCCATAACTCGATTGAGTCTTCTATGAGAGCATTTACATACCCATTATTGACTTTTGCATGTGTCATGTATAGGGTGTTCTCCTTCTTCCCTCATGCTAGAACAAGAAAGTTCTTGCTGAGTTTCTATTTGCTTTTAGCAAAGACATTGATGTATCCTTCATAGTCACGAAAATGATGGAGATTATATTGAGACGCATGTCTAGAACATGTCTCACATCCTTGAGAACCAAGTGAAAACTTGAGTTGGTTTCAAAGGAAACATCTCATCTTCCCATGATCTTGGATAATTTGTCATTTCCCATCCTCACATTACCAAAATCTCCATTGGTGTAAGATGTAAAGAAGTCATTTTGTGAGGTGACATGAAATGATGCACCGAAATTCACTATCCAACATGTATCTTGAGAGGAAAAATTAATGAAGCCATCACCACAGAGAATAATTACCTTATTTCCACAAGAGGTAGTTGCGGTCATGTGCCTGGCATCGCTCTTTTCGTTACCTCTATCTTGCTCTCGTTTAAACAGCCTGAACCCTATTTTCATGTGGCCTATCCCGCCACAATGGTAACATTCTAGGTCTCTTTTTGTCTTGGACCTCCCTCTCGAGCCATCTCTTGACCTGCCCTTTAACTTTTCTTCCATGTGGAATTTTCTATTGCTAGTTCTTCCATGATACTCTAAGACGAGGGCTTCTGACTCGACTATTACATCTTGTTCTTTCCTCCTTACTTCTTCATTAAACATTCTATCTTTAACTATGTCCAATGTAAGAACGTCTTGAGGAGTTAAATTGCTTAAGGACATTACTAGTGTATCCTAGCTATCAGGCAAAGAGCTGAGTAACACTAGTGCTTGTAACTCATCATCAAGCACCATCTGCATATTCGTCAACTGGTTGATCAAACCTTGGAAGTCATTATGATGCTCGGTAACACTTCGACCGTCTTTGTACTTGAGGTTTACCAATTGTCGGATAACTGAGGTTTTATTTTGAGCGGTCTTCTGCTCGTACATGGACAAAAATTTTGTCCATAATTTATATGCATATGTCTCTTGTGCCACATGGTGGAACACACTTTAATCCACCAATTGTTAGATTTGACCGACAGCTTTTCTATTCAGAATGCTCCATGCATTGTCTGACTTCCCTTCTGGTTTTTGTCCCAACAATTGAAGGGGCTCATACAAATCCTTGTAGTAAAGGATGTCCTCTATTCTTGGCTTCCAAATGGAGTAATTGGATGCAGTCAATTTTAACATTGTTGCTGACGATGATGACCACGACTCCTCCATCTTAAATTACACAAGAATATAGTTTTTAAGCCGAAGCTTTGATACCACTTGTTGGGGAAGATGGTGAAAAATAAAAGAGCCAATAAATAAATTTGGTAGTCCTAGGATCTAACTTTTCCCAACCTTGTGTAAATAAAATAGGCAAAAATAACACTCAATATTTTCCAATATGAAAATACTGGGAATAGAATAATAATCTCACCAAACACCGGTGGCTAAACTCTCTCGGTTTTTCTCTCTCACACAAGTGGGGTTTTCTTATCTCTCAAAACTCTCTCAGTTTTGGTTTTCTAAGGGATACATTGAATTGAAAGAAGACAACTGCTTTTATAGCCAACATTCCTAACTAATTGGTGGCCATGCATGAAGGAGAGTTTTTCTCCTTTTCTCTTCCATTTATTTTCTTCAATTTCTCTCGTCCTTTCTTTCATTTTATTTTACTATTTATTTTTCCTTCTTTTTCTCCCATCCACTAACGAGGGAAACTCATCACTTTTTAGGGATTGTGTAGGGTGTGGGAGGGGGGCTTTGAGGATAAGTGTGTGGAGGGGTTATGCGAAAAATCCAACAGAAAAGTCTAAGAAAAGACACGAGATCCATTTCATCATATATATATATATATATTTCTTGCTCTAGAATTGCTCATCCGATTTGAAAGTTAATGTTATTGTGGCGGAGGTGGGTTTGGGACTGGGAACCTATTGTAAGAAAAGCGTTTAAGATCAGAGTGGAGGGAATGAAGTAGGAATTGCAACTACTTTTGTGTGTGGTTATCTTCTCCTATTGATTAACGTCCTTCCGAGATTGTATTATATTCCTTCTGTCCATTTGTGTGGGACTAGTGAAATCATTCCTATCCTCACAACTCTTTCTTCTATTTCTTCAAGGTTGGTGGGATATCGGGTTTGGAAGGTTCATGGGATATTGAGGATAGGAAGGTTGGTGGGATATCGGGGTTGGGAAGGGTGGCGGCCAGTATAAGGGAGAGGGGGAAGGGGTGCGTGTGCATGGGAGGGGGATGTCGGGACTGGTTAAGGTCGGGGGTGGGCTTCTACTTTTTTATTTGTTATTTAATTTGTAATGTGTAATTTTAAAAACTACAGTGCATGTGAGAAGTGTGTGGATTTTTGATAGAAAATTGGTTGAAATTTGAAAAACTTGATGATATGGGCGAAATTTGCTATTTCTTATAAGTTTGAGTATTAAATTGGCAGAAGATAATCAAGAGGTAAAGTTGTATTAGCGTGATAGTTGAGGGGTAAAACAGTTGTTCACTCATTGGTTGTGTTTGGTTCATAGGAAATGAGGCTTAGAGATGAGAAATTAATTACTTTCCCATGTTTGGTAAGTCCAAGCATAGGAAATAGTTGTGTGGCACATGAGAATATGAAGGGGGGAATATAACACTCCTCTCCCCTTGGGTTTCATTTTCCATTCCCATGGGAAATTTTGGGAAAATGAGCTAACATTAAATGCACATTTTTATGACTATTTTGTCATCATTAACAATTTAGAATTACAATATAACATTAAATACATTCTTTTTATATTTGATTTCATACGGGTATGATTGAAAAATTATAAACTTTGTTTTACATTCCTATGCAAACCAAACATGGGAAAAGAAATAAAGTGGTGTTTCCTAGTTACTTTCCCAGCATTACTAAACATGGAAAATGACATTTCCCATCTCTTGGGAAGATCCTTTTAGGCCCTGCTTGGTTCATGGGAAATGAGATTTGGGGATGGAAAATCGATTGCTTTCTCATATTTGGTAAGTCCAGACATGGAAAATCGTTGCTTGGCCCATGAGAAAATTAGGGGGGGAGGGGGGAATAGGGGGGAAAGTTAACATTAAATGCACATTTTTATGACTATTTTTTCCCCATTAACCATTTAGAATCACAATATAACATTAAATGCATTTTTTTTATATTTGATTTCATATGGGTACGATTGGAAAATTACGAACTTCGTTTTACATTCCTATGCAAACCAAACATGGGAAATGAAATAAAGTGGTGTTTCCTAGTTACTTTCTCAGCATTACTAAACATGGAAAATGGCATTTCCCATCCCTTGGGAAGATCCTTTTAGGCCATGTTTGGTTCATGGGAAAGGAGACTTGGGGATGAGAAATCAATTGCTTTCCCATGTTTGGTAAGTCCAAACATGGAAAATCGTTGCATGGCCTATGAGAAAATAAGGGAGAAAGTAAAGCCATCCTCCCAACTTGGGTTTTGTTAGGAGGGAAAGTTTGGGAAAATGAGCAAATATTAAATAAACATTTGTCATGATCATTTTGTCCATATTAACAATTTAGAATTACAATATATCATTAAATGCCTTATTTTTTTATTTGATTTAATATGGGTATAATTGAAAATTTATACAAATTTTGGTTTTCATTCCTACTCAAAACAAACATGGGAAAAGAAATACAGTGATATCTCTCGGTTACTTTCATAACATTACCAAACGTGAGAAAAGAATCTTCCATTTCCCATCTCTTGGGAAATGACATGGAAAATGATTTCCCCTCAAATTCGTTCCGTGAACTAAATGGGACCTTATGATTTGGTTTGGAGGAAAGCTTTCCCCGAACCAAACCAATCGAGAACATTATGTTTTGACATTTGACCTAACCAAGGGCAATTTACCAAAACGGACCTCCCGTAGGCATAAGAAAAGGCATCGAGCGTTGGAGCGGGATATAGAGGTATAGGATTTGAACTCTCAATTTAAACGGTCATAAAATTATTCAAAGTTCAAATTAACAAATAAAAAATAAAACACACACATACACACATTCTTCAGGCTTCCAGCCCACCGCCCCTATCAATCTCTAATCTAAGCTCATCCTCTCTTCCGCCATCGAGAGGTTTCAAGTCGTCATCCACTCCCGGAAAGTCCGATACTTCACTCTTCTCTCTTTTCTCAGATCTTTCACTCCTGAGTTTTGGTTGGATTCCTTTTTGGCCTGTCCGCAGGTAAGCTTCACGTTTCACGAAAATTCCTCCATTTTCCGTGACTGTTGAAATTTGTGAAACCAAGCATGAAATTATTACTGAAATAATTTTGATTATGTCCCGGTAAGAAAAGGAGAGGTGTTTTTTTTTTTTTTTTTTTTTTTTTTTTTGATTAAACCCTTCTTTAGGGAATGGATTTTGAAGTTTTTATTTATTTATCTAAATTCATTTTAAAAATTATGCAGTGACTCAGCAACTGGGTGAGTGATGATGGCGGATATTGGAACAGAGATAGAGAAAGTAGAGATGTTGGATCCAGAGACGGAGTTTCTGGCATCGAAGCGAGAGACGGGGAACGAGTGGGAGCTGTATAAGGAAAATGTAAGGCCCCTGAAGAGAGGCCGCAAAATCGCCATCTTAAACGACGCTCTCAAAGCTCACAACGACAATGACATCAAGAAGTCCCTCTTTGACCAACGAAGGTCTTCCTTCTTCAAAGTTCAAATCTTTATATGCTTTTCTATGCGTGTGCCTGTTTAGCTTAATTTTTTTAAAATTTAATCCTCATTAGGCGATTGATTCAAGCGATTGACGAGTATAAAGGAGAAGACCCTCTCCACCCATGGCTTGAGTGAGTACTACTGACTGACTACTCTCTACTTTCAATTTTCAATAATTTTATGAATAATTTCATTTCCATATTTTCGATTTCGTAAATGGTTGTTCTTGCAAAAAAAAAAAAAAAAAAAAAAGATGATTTTTTGTTCTTGTTTGAGACAGTCCTTTATATTTTCCTTAAATTTCTCTGTCTCTCTCTTAAAGGTGTATCAAGTGGGTTCAGGAAGCATTTCCACCTGGTGGAGATTGCTCAGGGTTGGTTGTGATGTACGAGCAATGTGTGCGTACATTTTGGCATTCAGACCGTTACAAGGATGATCTCCGCTATCTCAAAGTCTGGTTGGAATATGTGAGTTCTTTTTCTTTCCCATATTCATATCTAAGATTAGTTTGTTTTTAGTTCTAGCTGCCCACTTGTAGGTGCAAGTTTCAGATCCTCAATTGTCTAATAAGTAACGTTGCGATTGAAATTGGTTCTGCAGGCTGAAAATTGTGCGGATGCTCAAGTCATATACAGTTTTCTCGATGCAAATGAAATTGGGAAGACACATTCTGTGTTCTACATATCATATGCTTTGGTCATGGAATCCAAGAACAAGATGAAAGCTGCCAATGAAATATTTAATCTTGGAATTTCCAGGTTACCTTATGTTGATTTTGGTATCTCCTTCTCATGTTTCTTACACATTGTAGACCTGCATTAACTATTCCACTTTACAGGAATGCTCTCCCCATAGAAAAATTGAAGGATGCATATAGGAAATTTATTGCTCGCTCAATGAGCAGACCAAAAGCTTCAGAGGTGTGCAAACCCATTTACTGTTAATGCAGGACATATTATAGTTTTGTTTTCTGCAAGCCATTTACTGTTCAATCTTATTGAACTTGTAGGAGGATTCAACGGAGAAACGCTTACCCATCCGAAGCTTTGGAACTGTCCTTTCCAGGGGAGAAAATAGTAAGTTTCCTTGCTATTTTTTGGATTATTATATTAGTGCATTATTTATGTTTTCGCCATGTTGCAGGAATGCAGACTTTGGACAGCTCTGATCTTTCTAGGAAGGATTCAAAGGCAAAAGGGTGAGCATATATAGTTTTTTAAATGCTTTATTTTCTCTAGGTTGGTTGGAGTATTCTGAGTAAAAGTATTTGACTGACCTGTAATGAACCTCAAGAACTTGTTAATGTATCCTGTAAACCCAAATAAACTGTATGTTCATTATCAGTTCAATATGCCAATTTTTGCACAAGCAATTAGATTTGAAAAGAAGGTGGTTAATGGGTTTTTAGTTTTGACAAGTTTCTTTTTCTTGAAAATGGAAATTGATAGTAATGCGCATAGCATAGCATAGAAACTCAGCTTTCTTTGTTTGGTTTCTGTAATGTACAACGAAAGTGATTTTGAACACATCTTCATGCCATTAATTAATCATAACATGATTTATATTTTTGCAATAGATAACTTTGTACAACTATGTGGCAGATCAATTAAGTACCTATTTAGCTTCTCTGGTTATTTAAATTTTCCATTTTCATAACTTATTTCACAATTTTTATCTCTGGACATAAACTTCCTTTTGCTTTGTTGTGCTTTGTATTATTCACGACTCTGTACATTCCATAGTCATCTCTATTTCTTGTTCTTCTTTTTATCAATCTTCTTCCCTTAGGATTATAGTCAATATATGCACATACTTTGTTTTTCCTGCAGACATGCTATTGTGTTGATGACCTGTTAGCAAACTGGTGCATGAGATCTTATGTTGCCCTGGTTTTATAGGGATCGTGTTCTGGCTCCAATTAACATTAACATTTATAAGGATTCAAATTCTGCTGATATTGGCTCTCATCACCATCCAGACGTGTCAAAGCCAGACGTGAATTCTTGGCACAGCCTTGGACCTAGGGCAGAGAGAAACAAAGAAAATAATGCAATCCCTACCAAGTGGAGATCATACAAGGTTTCCTCCTCTCCCCTGCTCCAATATATAGTTGATACTTTGATATCCTCACAGTGAGTTATCCAACCGTAAACTTGGTTTAATTCTTTCAGATTCCACAGAGACCTGGATCTAGAACTAGAGGAGCAGGTGCTAGTAGTGCCTGTATTGAGGTTTTTGTTGATGAAGAATGTGAAGAGTGAGTAATGTGACAGACTTCTATAAGTTCAACCATTAGTTTTTTTTCGAAGTTTTTTTTAATCCCATTTTGGGTACTCTTTTAAAAACCGAAAGTCATGTTAAGTTGTTGCAACAATCTAGAGCAGCTTTTGTTCTGTGGTACTGCATTTTAGTTCCCAAACTCTTGATTAAAAGCTCTTTCAAGCGTGGAGGTTGCAAGTCAATCTTTTATGGTCTATTATCAGTTTGTTGACTTGTTACAGTTTTGTTACCAGGACACATAGAAAGAATGTTGAGAGTGCCAAATCTTCAGCCTTGCAGCTTCGACAGGAGGAAGAGCGAGCTCTCAAAAGGTAAGAGAACTGGTTTGTTGAGACATTTGGTTTGAATCTGATAAGCTGTTCGTTTCAATTGCTAAGAAGCATTTGCTTTTGTTGCATTGTGGCAGGGAAACGGATTTGTTGCGGGAGGACCCCTTACGCAATTTCCCTTCCAACAGCCTTCCTAGATGACAGCAAAAAACATTTTGCTTGTAGCAGTGTTGCGTGATACATTCTTTAATCGACGCTTTATCTCTAAAGCATTACACATGCTTAGGAATTTCAATTTCAAGTTGGATACGTTAAGATTGTGTCTACTTTTCAAGGTTGAGAAAGTCTTCGGCAAACAGTCTCATGGCCTGTGATATATGTTCGTTTGACAGAGTTTTTATGTTTATGATACTGTTTGTGTATGCAAAGAGAACACCTTTTAATCTGCTTTAGAATTTCTTATTTCAGTCTGCCAAAAATACAACCTTTCCTTTCACCGTTGACAAATAAATTCTCACTTCATATATAGTTTGTAAAAATGTACCTCAATGCTTGATAAAGAAACCTCGAACTAATGATTAAATTATTTTATCTGTTTTCATGCATACATGCTTTTTCTTTCACTGAAGAATGTTTTATTTGAAGAGTTCGAAAGAAAGAAAAATTTAGGGTATGTTCGGTATTCTATTCAAAAAAGTAAATTACAATAACTATCATTCGTTGCCTTCATTGCCTTTTTCTGAGTTAACGAGAACGAGGCCCAAAGCATCCTAAGGGAGAAGCAAATTCCAGGGGAGTACTTTGTTCTTCTACTAGCGGCTGAGTGTTTTGTGTTGTTGTTTTCGACAGCTAGAGGAAGAGTTGGAGATGGTGCATTGATGTTGCACAGGCTGGGCATGAGAGTTTGCTTTGGTGAATCAAGATACTACTAGGCTTGGCATGAGAGGCTTATGGCGTGGGAGCTAAGAGAAAACGAGCATAAGAAAGGATTAAGGCTTGAGATTTTGGGTGTTTTCGGTAGCTAGACGAAGAGCGTGCGATGTATGTGTTTTCTTACCAAAAAGGTAATGACTATGGTTTCAACTTAGTTTGAGAGGATGGGTGTTTCAAATTTGGGATGGAGATTTTTGAGAGAGAGAGAGAGAGAGAGAGAGAGAGAGAGAGAGAGAGAGAGAGAGAGATGAAGATAAAGGATGGGTGGCTTGAGTAGATTTCTAGCAGCTTGAAGAATGCTTGATCGTGCTTTTGCATGGTTGAAGATGACTTGATGATGTTGAACCGAGATTGTGCAAGCTTGGCATGAGAGCTTGAAGTTGGCATGAGAGCTTGAAGTGTAAAAGCTAAAGACCCGCAAGTTTAGCAAATGAGAATGCATGTGCTTGGTTTGGTGTGGATAGGCTTGAGTTTGGGTGTTGAGAACTTGTTGTTTCTGTGGCTATGGTGATTTAAAAGTTTCAAGAGAAGGATGATGGAAGGAAAAGCTTGAGGCTTGAAGGCTATGGTGTTTATAGCTTGGAAGGGTATGAGGAGGAAGGAAAAGTTTGAAGTTATGCTTGGTGAGGCTTTATAGGGAAGATGGAGGATTTCAAGGCTAAGAAAGTAGAAGAATAGTTGTGATAGCTAAGGAATGGTTGGGATGACCATTGGAATGCTTGCAGCAGCCGAAGGGAGGAAGGAAAGGTGGTTTGATGGTTGCTGGGGTGTTTAAGCAACCAAGAGATGTTGTTTTCTACTTCTATCATGGCTTCTAATTTATAGAAGGCAAGGGCTTTCCTTTATTTCCAATGGGGAAAAGGAGGAGATGAAACCATTCTATTTCCAACGTGTAAAAGGATGCATTGGGACATTATTATTTCCAACAGGCAAAGTTAGGCATTGAAAAATGAATATTTCCTATGGGTAAAGTGAGGTGTTAGAATTGGCTTGTTTCCAAAGGGTAATAGGGAGTGCTTGAAGGATATCTTATATGCTCACCCATATTGGAGAACTCCAAGCAATGGGCTTGGACTTTAGTGCACCCAAGTAGCTAGCCCGAAGTCTTCATTACCCAAGAGCTTCCGTGGGCCTTGTGGACCTCCGTAACCTTCCACACCACAATTCCTCGTGCAAGCCTCATAAACCATATGACTTGGGTTCATGTGAGCTTGGTAGGTGATTGACATATGAAAAATGTATTATTGGCTTGGCATGGCATGCACACTATTCCTATATTTATTTAATGAATTCATTTCCAAAATACTGTTGAGATTAACGCATGACCAACATTATATGTTATATAGGGCTTTAAATGTCTTTGGGTTTCTCATGACTTTTTGGTCCTCAACACCATTCAACGGAGAATTGCTCCTTCTCATCGATGATGAAGGTGAGGTTTCTCTGCTGCTGACGGCTGCCTAAGGTTTTCCTAGTCACCATGGGTGGAACTAGGTAGAGGGCTACCATGGACTCTAGCCCAGGTAGCCTTTTATAAAATTAAAATATATTACATATATTTTAATGTTATTCATCCCATAAAAACTTAGTAGCCCACTCAAATGTAGTTTTGTAACCCACTGTCCACTCAATTTTTGTAGGCATATAATCATGTTATATTTAATTTGTTTGCTCAATTAATAAAATAATCTCTTAATAAACACATGATTTTAACTCTCAACCTTTTACTATTTATCCCAATCTGTACTTTAATATATTTCTAGAAAAACTATAGAAACAGTAAGTACCCAAACAAAAATTGGTGCTTAGATTTTAAGCTATAACAACTTTAACTAGTCCACCCATTGAAAAATTCCTAGTTCCGCCCTTGCTAGTCACATTGCTACAGCCTAGTCCTTGAATGAAAAACTCATTGCCCACATGGCAAAAAATTTCCTAGTCGCATTGCTACAGGGGCTATTCGAACCTGAAAACTTCTATACGTAAAAACCCATGATTTCCATCTGCAAGTAAAATTATAAAAAGTGATTATGATCATTTGACTTTTGTGTTACTCTATGCTTATAGTCAAATTGGCTTTTGTGCAACAATACGCATAGAGATTATGATCATTTGGATTTTGTGTTACTTATAAAAAGTGATTTCTGAAAATATATGAAATCAAAAAAGTGGGCTCGTTTGGGAATGCTTCTTCTTAAAGCGCTTATGCTAGTAGCGCTTATGTCAGTAGCGCTTATGACATAAGCGCTTCTACAAAAAAGTAGTTTGTCGTTTGAATGTCACATTTAAAAGTACTTTTACACTACATAAAAAGCGTTTTTGATATTTTATTGAGTGTTTATCTGACACAATAAAAGGTTACCTTGAGTCTTCTTTTCTGTTCTCATCTTTTTCTCTTGAGTCTTTTAGGTTGACATCTGGTTCAATGTATTTGTGTTGTTTCAATTTTTCTTAATACAGTTCTGCTTCCTGTGAACAAAGGATAAAATATAAAATATTGAGGAACAGAATACGTTTTCCGCAAGCTGGAAGTTGGCTTCAGGCATATATGCTGCTGCTATCTTCCTTTGTTGGTTCACTGTGTAGCGTGAATTTTTATACTTTTCATTTGTCTTTTCCTATTGAATATATATACTGTTCTTCCAGTGTTCGAGAAATTTTTTCCAATTAATATTGGAAAGGGCATTCAATTTTACTGAAATTTAAAGTTCTGTATACAAAATTCAGAATTTTACAACTGATTAAATCCATGTCTTTCATTTCAGAGTGCCTTTCCATAGCTTATGCGAACACACTGGATTTAAGTAATATGAGAGAAAAAAGAAAGAAAGGGTATTTTGGAATTAAAAAAAATAAAATATGGGTATTTTTGGTATTTTAAAAGTTTCATTAAAGGGAGCCAAGTGTTTCCCGTGTTTTTGTCCTGCAGCGCTTTTAAGAAGAAGCACCTCTCAAGTGCTTCTTCCAAAACCACTCCAAGTGCTTTTAGATCTCACCCAAAGCGCTTTTCCTATTTTTGCCAAACACCATTTTTAAAAGACAAAAGCGCTTTTACCTATTTAGAAGCGCTTTTCGCTGCTCCAAAAGCACTCACAAACGAGCCCGTCAAATTGGGAAGGTGATTTCTAGTACCTCGTTGTATTTATGACTATAATGTTAGTAATACTACTATGACAATTTAACACGAATATAATTAAAGTTTTCGTTGTATTCTAGTACCCAAATTTTTATAGAATTAAAAAAAAATAAAAAGTCCACTAAAGACTTTTAAACTTCTTATAATTCTGATTGAATAGACATGGACTTTTCAACTCTTATGAACAAATCACAATTTAACACGAGAATGACTAATTAGAAGATGACTAACCCTACACGAGTCATAAGATGACTCATTCTTCTTCTTTTTTGCGCTCAAAATGAGTCTTTCCATCTAGGGCCGGTGCTATATTTTTCAAATTTTATAAGGTGAGTGACATCTGACATGGCGAAAGGATCCCTCGTGTAATCGAAAGAGCTCTCTGATTGCCTAGCTGGCGAGATACTATTGGTCCGATGATTTCACCACGGCAAATCCTATGTGGCTCAAGATCATCATCACGCGTGTCCTTCTTGCGTTTCCTTGCTCACCAAGAGTCTGAGTCTGATTGGCGCAGAGCAGACGACGCGTTTCCAGGAAAAGTAAACACCAACTAAATATCTAGATGGTCGTCTATGCCATTATTCAATATAGCCCTCCTCCAGTGTCCTCGTATCCTCTAGGTTAGAATTCGACTTCGAATTAGATTTTTGTAGATATTTATTTTGCTTATGGAATTGGAAGGAGATGTTGGATTTCTGGACAGTGAGAATGACATAATCGGAGAAATCGATTGGGATTTTTTGTTCGACGGCTCAAATATCTTGGAGGATGTGTTGGAGTTGGAAAATCCAGTCGTCACGGCGACTGGTTCATCATCGCCATCACCGTCACCATCATCAACGGTGGAGGATGCTCCCTCTAACTCATCCCCGGATTGGATCGGCGAGATCGAGACCATTCTGATGAAAGACGACGATGTCAATGGCAACCAGGTTGTTCCGGATTCGGTGGAGCCCACTAATGCTGAATATTATGAGAAGTTTTTGGCGGATATACTCGTCGACTCGCCTTCCAGCGATGCCGGTTCCAACGCCTCCGCCGACTCCGTGAAGGAGAAACTCGACCGATCCCCGCTCAACGATGACGATGACACTGCTGACGCCGACGCCGACGCCGACGATCCTATCTCCAAGAAAAGGAGAAGGTACCATTAATTTGTTATTTATTATTTATTAATTGTAAATCTTCGTTTTAGGGTTTTGAACATTTATTAAAATTAAAATCAGAGTATGCTTATTATTAATTTATTTATATTTTTAATTACTGTGGTTGTGTAAATAATTCTATGAGAGAATGATTATTATTTGCATAACAAGTCTGGTTTATTGAATCCTTTAATGAGAGATGAAGTGAAATATGTTTTGGGCAAAGGGCCAAAAATAGATAAATAAATTATTGGGTAAATAATAATAATTACGATGTGATATGATAGTAGTGAATGTGGTTTGGATTATTCCAGGCAGCTGAGAAACAAGGATGCAGCGGTGAGATCAAGGGAGAGGAAAAAGACGTATGTGAGGGATCTGGAGATGAAGAGCAAGTATTTGGAAGGCGAATGCAGGAGACTGGGGCGTTTGCTCCAGTGTTGCTACGCTGAGAATCACGCTTTACGCCTCGGTTTGCAGATGAACAATGCTTATGGGCATGGACATGGTGTTTTGGCCACGAAGCAGGAGTCTGCTGTGCTCTTGTTGGAACTCCTGCTGTTGGGTTCCCTGCTTCGGTGCCTGGACATCATGTGCCTCGTTGCTCTGCCTCTAATTCTGATGGCCGGACTAAGAAATCCACTGAACAACGTGGCGGCAAACGAAGATCTAGAAAGTGTGGATCTAAGGCCAAGAGGGGCAGCAAGTAAGATGTTTCGACATTCGGTGCTCCAATGTTTTTCTAAAAGTAGGAGATGCAAAGCATCCAGGACAAAGATGAAACATAGTCGATTTCCTTGTTTATCGGGTTCTTATGTGAGCTTTGCTCTCCCGCTTCTAATGTTAGCAACTTAAGGTTGGTAGGTTGGATTATTTATTTATTTTTGTTTTCCCTTTTGTCTATGAATAATGGTTTTGCACTATGATATGGAAATCCTCCAACTATGATTTTTGTATTTCTTCTTGATTGATTTACAATGTGCTCATTATCTACAAGTTGTTGCTTTACGAGTTATGCAAATTCAGATGCAAATGTCTATAGGAATCATCAGACAACCATTTGGTGGGGGTTTGTAACTGATTTCTTTATCTATTTTTCCTATGCAAGATGGAGTAGGGATAACCAATATTTAGCTGGATTGTATTGGCGGCATATTAAGATATAATTCGTTTGACCCAAAAGTTCATGCAATCAAGCAGCATTTGTGCTTGCCTTATTATGTCCGTATGCATTTTACTACTGCTTTTTGTTTTTGGGGATCATTTTCCATGTTGTATCTGGTAGAGTAGAGCCTTAACTCCTTGAGGCTTTAGCTTTCTAGGTTGCTGGCCTGTTTTGGGTTCTTCTCGTTTTTGTGTCTCTGTACCAAAAGCTTTTTTTTATATAAAAAAAGCCCTTGCGCGCAGCAGTAGAGTGTTGCGCAGTGAAGGCCAAAGGAGGAAGGACTTATGTCGAGCACTTGGCGTGCACCCAAGGGGTCGCCGGTGGAGTACACAACCAATATTCCGTCATTCCAAGGGGTCGTCCAACCCCTCTTGTATTGTGTGCCATTACAACATGAACTGACTTGGCTCATTGTATGCAACCTTATCTCTTATACGATTCTTTATACCTGCAAAAAACCTCAAAATAATATAACTAACACGTATAAGTTCAGCAAGGCCCAAAAAGCCAAGTTTTTGATATGGACGGAAACAAAGACGATGCCTTGAAATGCTTCAAAATTGGGAAAGAAGCTTTGGAAGCTGGGGATCAAACCCGTGCCCTAAAATTCCTAACTAAAGCTCGCTGTCTCGAACCGACACTACCCATCGACGACTGAACTGAATTGGGGGTTTGTTCGTTTCTCATGATTATCCGCCAACTGAATTTCAAAACCGTCCAACGAATACCCAACCAACGGTATGCTAGCTGCTGTTACCACCATTCATTCAGACATGAGCACCAACCGTTCAACCAAAATCCCCAACCAAATGCAGCCTCAACTAACCGCTCTATGCTCGACTACTTGCACAGAAACCTTCCACTTAGAGCCCTTGACATGTTCAGTAAGCAACTTCAACTACATTTGTCTCATAACATCGATGAAGTTACCGTTACCCTTGCTATCAAGGCCTGTCAAGGGGACCCCAAACCCGGATGCCAAATTCACGGGTTCGCAGTTTCTTCTGGGTTTGCTTCGTGATGAGTATGTACACTAAAGCTGGACAGTTTGATTGTGCCTTGCTTATCTTTGAGACTCTGTTATACTGATATAGTTTCTTGGAATACTATTCTTTCGGGGTTTTGAACAAGTGAGGGTGCATTGAATTTTGCTCTTAGGATGAATTTTAATGGAGTTATTATTTGACAAGACCTGCAACTTAAAATACAGCATTAGAAATAGTTATTATTTGTTTCAAGCCTTCTCAAGAAATAAAAACAATTTCGCTACTACGTTGTTATTTCTTCGATTCCAACATCACAATTGCAAGGTATTTTGAATGGATTTCAGCAGGTAAAATTGTGTCTAGTAGATGAAGCATGCCATGATAAAACCAACATTCTAGGACAACATTACCAGAAATTTCAAAAGCTTCCTTTATAACCAATGACAACAGAGAAAACACTAATCTAAGAATAGGAGTTATAACCATCCTTTGCTTCTTGATATCCACAGGAACATCTCTTTGACGCTTAGTGCCAACCCATCTCAAGGACAGAAAGCAGCACTTAAGAGAAAGTTGACTGCCCTGCATGAAGTGATATGCTCCAAGGCATCCATCGAAAAGATAACCTGAGCTCCAGATTTCCCATATTTGTGAGTTATTCTAAGTAGTAAAGCAAATTCAGCCTCGAGAGCGTATGCTCGCTGTCCAAGTGAAAGAGCACCCGAAAAATGAAATCAACAGAAGATAGTATGACAAACCAAGACATCGATATCATAGAAGAAAATACAATAGCTTCAACAAACTTCAAATAAAAACAAACTCATATATACACTAAAAATTGGGTTGTGAAAGAATTTGCACATATGTTACTTCCTCAAAGGATTTTTACACAGTAAAAAATGGCAGTGTTTCTTTCCTTTTACCTTTTAAGTAAGTTTTTTTTTCAATTGTCAAAATGGGTCAGATTTGTAGTAGTGCTGCTGGTGTAAAATTCTCTAAAACAGAACTGCCTAAAAATTTGTTTAAAATTCAAAAATAAGGTCAGATCAGTAAAGTCCCATAATAAGTTCATGAAAAGCCTGTTCCCGGCGTTGCAAAATTAACAAAGCACTATATGTAAATATAGCAGCTAAACACAAAGCAAAAGTTCCTAAACTCAAGTAGAACTGCTGTAGTCCTGACCACCAGTTCCAGTTCCCAACCCAAACTCAGGTATGTTTTCTGGTAAACAACTTAGCAGGAATTATTGGATAATTTGGATTTCAGGTAACAAGGAAAAGCATTTTACCCAAGTTGAAAAGGTGAGATCTTACAGTTGGCTAAACTTAAAGGTTAATGTTAATAATGCCTATATTCATATAATCAAAACCACCCTGCTATTGGACTTCATAATTTATTAGACAAGCACCTGATGAGAGAAATTGCTCATGCTCATTAAGCAAGATCTTAAGAAACCCCTACTTTGAAGTTGGCTTAAGAAATATCTTTCATGATCTACACAAATCGATGCATCCAAAACATAGAGTGCCATTTGTTGTAATTTTTTTTTCCACCATTCAAATTTTCTTGTCGACTTCTAGAATCAAATTGAAAGATTATTACGTTTTATAAATTACTCTTAGTATTACTTAAAGAGTACAGCCGCAACTGTAGAGTTTATATAGTAAAAATACAGTTTTATTTAGTCCCACATTGGAAGGGAGTTGTTACATTTCATGGTTTATAACCATCCACACTTTAGAAACACATAATAGGATATGGGCTTAATGGAGGAAAAGTTGGGTCTCATCTTGATTTGGGCTTGTATATATATAATTGGGTAATAAATAAATATATTTAATTGTCAAAAGATGGTCCTTGGGTCTCTTGGCTCTGTTGATTTAATTAATACTAGCCGAGCATGTGCCAATTGGTTTTATTTTATATTTTATATTTTTATTTTTAGAATTAAGAAAAGATAACATGGGTAGCTATGTTTTTTAAAAGTAGGACCTATTATTTAATTTTGTTTTTAATTTTAATTTTGTTTTAATATGAAAATTGTGAATTTACCATATTATCCCATTTAATTAATAATTTCAATTCTTAATGCTTGAATTAACCAAGGGCATTTTCTGGTATTTTGAATGTTTCACCATTCTCTGCCTTTTGCTTTATATATATATATAAATTTCCTTTTAGTAACTATTGGAAGAAGAGGTCTCAGACCTCAATGTATTGACAATTCGTCTGAAACAAAAAATATTCAATTTGGAATAGCATTGTCATCTATCCAAGTCAGTATTCTGTAATTTTAAAAATAAAAAAAATGGTAGAGCGGTTTTTTCTATTCTTAAAAAAAAATTAGTCGGAGGCAGCTATACTTAGTTTTTGAATTTTCTTTTTAAAAAAAAGTACAGCCGCACGGCGATAGTATGGTCTTTTATTTATTTAAAAAGGGTCTAGCCGCATGGCCATACTCTTTTGGACTAGTGGGATCCCTTTTTTTTTGTTTAAAATAGTCTAGCCGAACGGCCATACTCGGTTTTTATGTTTTTTTGGTCTAAAAATAGGATAGCCCCACGGCTATACTCGACTTTCCTGATTTTTGTCAAAAATAGTACAGTCGGTCGGCTATACTGTTCGAACATTCTATTCAAAGAGCATAAAAACATTCTAAAAAATGAGGTACCTCCATATTTAAAATTTGTTGCAATGTGGTTCTGTCATTAGAAGATCCGTTAAGTGATGACGTGTCATTTATGGGGTCCATATTTTTGCATACCCGAAGTAAAATATTAATTAAGAATTTGAAAAATTAAACATAATCTCTCTCTCTCTCTCTCTCAAGGAGCCCAAATTTAGCCCATATTGAAAAAATAAGTAAATGTATATATGTATAATTGTCAAAAGATGGTCCTTGGGCCTTGGGTCTCTTGGGCTCGGTTGATTTAATTAATATTTCCTTTTAGTAACTGTTGGATGAAGATGTCTCATACCTCAATGTATTGACAATTCGTCTGAACCAAAAAATATTCAATTTGGAATAGCATTGTCATCTATCCAAGTCAGTATTCTGTAATTTTAAAAATAAAAAAAATGGTAGAGCGGTTTTTTCTATTCTTAAAAAAAAATAGTCGGAGGCAGCTATACTTAGTTTTTAAATTTTTTTAAAAAAAATAGTACAGCCGCACGGCAATACTATGGTTTTTTTTTTATTACAAAAAAGGGTCTAGCCGCATGGCCATACTCTTTTGGACTAGTGGGATCCCTTTTTTTGTTTAAAATAGTCTAGCCGAACGGCCAAACTCGGTTTTTATGTTTTTTGTAAGTAAAAAAAAATAGTATAGCCGCACGGCTATACTCGACTTTCCTGATTTTTGTCAAAAATAGTACAGTCGGTCGGCTATACTATTCGAACATTCTATTCAAAGAGCATAAAAACATTCTAAAAAATGAGGTACCTCCAGATTTAAAATTTGTTGCAATGTGGTTCTGTCATTAGAAGATCCGTTAAGTGATGACGTGTCATTTATGGGATCCATATTTTTGCATACCGAAGTAAAATATTAATTAAGAATTTGAAAAATTAAACATAATCTCTCTCTCTCTCTCTCTCTCTCTCTCTCTCTCTCTCTCTCTCTCAAGGAGCCGAGATTTCTTCTTCTTCTTCTTCTTCTTTCTTTTCTAACACAAGTCTCAGTTTGACATATATCTTCACTGCAGCACCATCAACAGACAGCACTAAGTTTGTGAACTTGATCAAATATACCCACCGGCCATTAGGGGTAGCATCACATGAAGTGTTGCAAAATGCCAATTTTTTTTTTTTTTTTTTTTTTTTTTTTTTTTTCCCAATTATTCTCTTCCTAATAGTACCTTGATAGAGATCAATTTCCTTTTCAAATGAAACAGCAATTCTTATTTTATATATATATATATTTAATATTATCAGTTTGCTGCAATGCCATCGAAAAGATCATTCAACTTAACTCTGGTAACTGGTAAGATGAACATGACAGCAAAGCAATGCTCTGTTTTCTGAATATTGATGTATCTTGTTTGTTAATAGCAAGGTTCATATGATGACTCATTTCTGTTTTACTCTGTGGCATGCAACAAAACAAACGCTTTCTTACGGCTAGCTAGTCAATTTGTTTGATAGCCTTGATGCAGTTTTTTGTTTTATTTTTTCTGCAATTTGTTTGAAGCAGCACCAGCATCAGCATGCATAAGTTTATCGATCCCTCCCTCCCATTCCCATATGAAAGATGAATTGACGGTCTTGCTTATGCAGGCCCAGGCCCCAAAACAAAAGGAACCCATCAAAGAATTCTACTGAGAAATTGCTTGAGAGAAACAAACTGAATGTTGACCCTTTGCCATGAGTGTAACAATAAAATGCTCTCTATTATCACCACCTCCTACTAGCTACTACTACCTAATCTTGTTTCACGCACGTTTTTAATTGGCTTAATTATGTACATGCCCCCTGTGCTTTCCAACTTATCTCAGATTACCACATGTGTTTGCAAACGTCTCAAAGTATCCCCCAATGTGCAAAAAACCGTCTCACGTTACCCTTTCCGTCAGTTTTTTTGAAGTTCCGTTACGAACGTTACTGTTCATCCCCCCAAAATTCCAGAACAACAGCTCCTCCCATTTGTTACTGTTCATCTGACCAATTTTTGGGCTGCCATCGCCTCCTCCGGCCACCCCAAGCGACGACATGGATATCAAAAGAACCAACACGTTGTCCTCTACCACCCTCACATCTCAGCCGCTGCCAACCGTCGTCTGGATCACCGAAAAAAGCAAGAAATTGGCCGGTTTTTACCCAAAATTTCCATTGCTCGTTCAGGCGATTCCGAGCACCATTTTCTTCGATCCAGGTATGATTTTTCAACCTCTCGAGTTGTTCTTGCTGCTAGTTGTGTTGGTTAGGAGAAATTTCTGAGTTTTGGAGGGTAAATAAGCGATGAACAGTAACAAAGGGGAGGGGCTACTGTTCTGGAATTTTGGGGGAGATGAACAGTAACGTTCGTAACGGAACTTCAAAAAAACTGACGGAAAGGGTAACGTGAGACGGTTTTTTGCACGTTGGGGGGTACTTTGAGACGTTTGCAAACACAGGTGGTAATCTGAGATAAGTTGGAAAGGAGGGCATGTACATAATTAAGCCTTTTTAATTTAAACAAAAGAGTGCTGTATTGTGTATGAGTGAAGAAGAAGAGGAAGCAAAACGGAGCAAAATGCAAGTCACAATCTCTCTCCTCTTCCAAATTCTAAAAATAATATCAAAACGTGGTCGGCAGGATTCGAACCTGCGCGGGCAAAGCCCACATGATTTCTAGTCATGCCCGATAACCACTCCGGCACGACCACTTGATGCTTATTATTCTACAACTTTTCTTATATATTCCCTCTACTATATTTTAATACCTAAAGTCAGTGTCCCTATAATTTGGACCCATCAAAGTTATTGGGCTTCATGGCCCTATTTGTGGGCTGATCGAATAAGGGCAACAACATGGGCCTAGACATACAGAAAATGAATTATCATTGTCTATCAATCAATCCGAGTCATTTTATAGTAACACCCTTATATATGACCCTTAGATACCCAGAAATTGAATTATCATTGCCTATCAATCAATCCGAGTCATTTTATAGTAAGGGCTTTATATATGACCCTTAGATACCCAGAAAATGAATTATCATTGTCTATCAATCAATCCGAGTCATTTATAGTAACGCCCTTATATATGACCCTTAGATACCCAGAAAATGAATTATCATTGTCTATCAATCAATCCGAGTCATTTTATAATAAGGGCTTTATATATGACCCTTAGATACCCAAAAAATGAATTATCATTATCTATCAATCAATGCGAGTTATTCTATAGTAAGGGTTTATATATGACCCTTAGATAAGGTATAAGCCCAATATCTCTTAATCTCATGCCCTTAGGTGATATAAGCCCAACCCGAAAAATACACATATGAAATATTCGGGTTATAAGTTACTACTTATAACCCTAATTCCTCTTTCCTCCTTCTTCTTCATCAAATCCAATCCAACCGCCGTTCTCTCTCCCTCTCTCTTTCTCGACTCCGTCTCTCACTCTCGCTCTCTCTCCTCCGTCTTAAAAAAAAACCCGAAATCGACCACACAATGGTAGTATCTTGCTCTTCATCTTTTCTTTCAGCTTAGAGAGCATGGTTGATTGATTGTGTTTGTCATTTGTTTGTTTATTAATTTGTTTGTGTATGAATGTAATTGCAGACAGGAGAGGCAGTGAACGCAAAAGCGTACCCTTTGGCCGATGCGCAGCTGACGATCACAATACTCGACCTGGTTCAACAGGCAGCTAACTATAAGCAGCTTAAAAAGGGTGCCAATGAAGGTACGTTAAATGCTCAGATTTCAATGCCATGGCTGCCTGCTTCTGTTTTTATCTGTTTATATATATATATATCTATATATATATATTTTAACATTTGTTTTATGGGTTTTGTTTTTCAGCGACTAAGACCCTGAACAGGGGTATTTCTGAGTTCGTAGTGATGGCGTGTGACACTGAGCCGATTGAGATTCTTCTTCACCTTCCCCTGTTGGCTGAAGATAAGGTACTATTCATCATTCCTGTTACATATCTGTGCCACTGAAATTTTAGTGTCATAAATGGCATTGATTCTTTGATTGCAACATGGGTTTTTTTAATTTCTATTGGATGATGGGAGAGTGTTGTGTTCTTTTTCTCATATGAGGATAGTTCAATAAATTCAACTATTGCTGCTTTTCACAATGACATTCTGAAGTTCTATTTTTATTTGCTCACCTTTTGTGGATTAAATGTTTCCTTTTAGGCTTATTGTTTGTCCTATTATGATTCGTTCTCGTCTGTTAAGAGCTACTTACTGTAGTTTCCAAGTGTTTGATGTTTTACACGCAAAAATGAAGTGAGAGAAAAGTATTACCCCTTTGGTTGTGTTTGATTGCATACTTGTTTTGTGTTGTATATCGTGGCACTGGTTGTGTTATATTTGACCCAAAGCAGACCAGTTAGGTATTTACCCTAGTTGGTAGGATTGTGGTCTATGGCTGGACATAGATGCACCTAATTGCCTATTTGAAGGTTAGCCCTTGTGCATCCCATTTGGCGCAAGCATTTCAGTAAGCAAGGCTTATTGGTTGCAGACATGAAAGACCATGGCCAAGATAGTATTTTATGTTTATTTCTTCATGATTTTTTAGTTTATTATATTGAAGCTTCAAAATCCTTACTTTTTAGTTGGATGATTCTCCTAGTGATTTAAATCAATTTAAAGCACTTTACAAGTGTTCTTTTTTAATTTGGCAGAATGTTCCCTACGTTTTTGTCCCTTCGAAGCAAGCACTTGGCCGAGCCTGTGGTGTCACAAGACCTGTCATTGCGTGTTCTGTGACTTCCAATGAGGGAAGTCAATTGAAGTCGCAAATACAACAGCTCAAGGTACTCTTCGTTTTAGGTTTCCTTAATGCTTGGATTTGGTCCTACATGCTGAACATTTTATGTGTAAATTGCAGGATGCCATTGAGAAACTCCTTATCTAAGCTATCTTGGAATGCATATTCGGTGTGATATGCCTCTTCGGACTGTAATAGTGGGAGCCTTCAGAGGCGTTGACTAGGAAATGCATTTGTATTAATTTTTCTGTTTTTCTGAACTTCGAGGCAGCTTGACTTTGAAGTATATTTGCATGGATCGTGATTAGTGTTGCTATTAAGTATAAGCTTATGTAACAATTTGCGTATTGTGATTGTCCTATTTTCTGTTGCCTTTTCGTTGTTGGCTTTAAACCCTGATGGGAAAACCAAATTATGGGTATTATGTCGTGTTTTAAGGCATCCGCATCTATATTCTCATGAGAGGATAACCATTTGCAACATGTCGATGTCGCATTGTCATTAAATAGAGGTGATCAAAATACATAACTTTGACCTGAAGCAACCTTGTAAACCTGTCATCTCACACGCTAGTTAAGCTTTAGCACCTGCGCGCATTACCAGGTACAAGATTTTACTCTAAAATGAAACCATAGCCGAAAATTCAAAGACGTAACTTCATGACATGACTACTTAGGGTTGGGTTGTGTTCGGGATTCATAATTGTAATTTTCTCTCTTAGCAAAAACATGTTGACCAGTCATGCATCTCAATTGGCTCTAACCACAGTTTCATATCAGCAACGAAAAGCAGTTCCAAAATGTGGAGTTTAAGAAATCTCATTTACCGCCCATGCTAGGAATTAGATGAGAAAATGTACAGATCATAGCACTATTTCAATTGACAAGGCTCCTATCAATAAATAAATAAATTGACAAGGCAAATTCCAAACTGTCTTTAACTGTCTCGCTTTTCACTAGAATTCCCATGCTGGTTCGAATGGATCAAAGTGGCATTTTGCTCCGAGCTCTTTGAAGCCTTTTCTTCTTCCAAACTGTCTTTAACTGTCTCCTCCTCAGCTGCCTTCTCAAGCCTCAATATGGGCGCATAGTGATCTGGATGAGCCTGCATACACTTCTTCAAGGCCGCGGTGACCTCAAAGCACTTTTCAGCAACATCCTCCTCGTTCATCTCAGACTCCGCTGCGCACTTTTCCCAAGCTATGAAACTCTCCCTGCACCCACCAGCTTTCATGAACAAGCAAAAGCCACATTCTCCCTCCTCTTGCTCTTCTTCTTTTTCCAATGCGCCTTCATCTTCCTGATGCTTCTTTTCTTCTAGAGTTTTGGTATCCAATTGGTGATCTACAGTATGTTTTGGAGTTTGGTCGTCTGGGGTCTTAGAATCTGAATTGGACATGTTGGGATTTGATGAATCTGGTGGTGAGTCAACCTTATGAGAATCAGTGGGAATCGTTGAGTCCGATGATAGCGAGTCAGGACTTGTATCGGAGGACCAAATAGCCCCCATGGCTGCTAAAGAACCCTCTACATGTAAATTCAGCAACATGATCAAAATTTAATGTCAATTATATTACCTCCGTTACTAAATACAGAATTGCATATTTAGCGCCACAGCAAACTACAATTATGAAAATACCCCAAGTCTAAAACTAATTAAATTGCATTTGTTTTAAAAAAACATAGTGGTGATTAAGATGAGACACGTAGTCAGCCCACATGCAACATTACAGCAATTTAAAAAAGAAAAACAATCAAATTTGAAAGATTACCAAAGAATTTTTCAGTCTATTGTTCATTCAATATTTTGCTCATCTATATTCATTTGAACAGAAGAAACCAAATTAGAACATTAGAAACTAAGGGACAAGTACTGACGCAAACAGAACATTAGAAACCCTATTGTCCAATACATATTATATTGTAAGTTTTCTCGACTACAAAATCCCTTCCCATGTATGTTTCTGCTCAATGCTCTTGGCCAAACTCCACTAAACAGTAAAGCCAGCAGCACAAATATTATTTTCTCTGTAATAACAGTAAATGATTACCCTTTTCAGGCTTATTGTATAAGTATGCCTCTCTTTTGAGGATCCACACAGACCAAGTCACAACAACTATCATAAATTGTTGAAATTCAGAATAATTCTTGAGTTGCTCCTTTACACAAAAGTAGGGAGTCACCATTGACAATAGCATGATAGAAAGAATGATTCACACAATCATGTATGCCAAATCTCACTTCAGATGAGGAATGCAAGTAAAAAGATACTAGATACACACATATATGCAACTACAAAATGATAAACCACAATACGGAAGCAAAGATGCACCACGGACTTAACACCATTTAGGACAACAACACACAGGACTACTCAAAGAACAAGAACAAATATAGACATTGAAATATACGTTCAGATGGATTGATCAGAAACCTATAGAGCCTTGAGTATACGCATACGTTCTATTGTTCTTTTCTCCTCCTTGCTAAATGCACACGTTCTATTGTTGTTTTCTCCTCTTTGCTAAAAGCATCTTTAGACTCTGATGATATGAGGTCTGTAAACTCTGCCAAGGCATGCAATAAGTAAGAAAGCCTTTTTAAGTAATAAAGAAAAATAAAATGAAAATAAAGCATCTGTCACAAAACTAGCACTTAAAGAGGGGCACAATCTTTTCAAACGCAAATACAGTACAGACACAAACAGCAATAAAAAGACTGAAAGTAGAACTCAATCTATCATACCTTTCTGTAATTGTTCAGGACAGAATAAATATGATATAGGTTGTGAGATTCACAGATATTCTTAACTGTTATTTAAATTGCATCACACCTTTATATGATTACTTCCCTTGGCATCATAGAACTTTCTACTTCTTAGACTAGAAAAATAAAACGAAGTTTCTAGTTTTTTTTCTTCTTCACTTTTTTCTTAAATATCTTAAATGACTGACTGCAATTACTTGGTGGGGAAATTCACATGAATGTGATGGGTACGAGAAAACGGTAGCTTCTTCAAGCACAGAAAAATTCAATGTCAATGGCAATGTCAATTCAATTCCAGACATATAAAAAAAACAAAATAAACCCAAAGAAAACAAAAACAACATTAAACAGCGATCAATGAACCAAAAACAAATTTTAATTCAATTTCAGTGACAAAGAGAACACAGAAGAAAACAGAAGTGTACCTAACAGCAGGAAGCTCTTTTACCCGGTGGGGTTGGGGGGCAGTGAGCTCTTCGTGACGGCTGACTTCGGCAGCACGGTACGGCAGGTAAGGAAACGCAGTGATGGGTTTGATAATTAGAGAGAGACCAAAGATGAAAGAGCGAGGGGGTTTAAGGGCATGACTTGTAGACCAATTTTCCTTCCACACCAAGAATTCCTATTATAATTATAATTGATTCGTTTGGGAGTGCTTTTGGAGCAGCGAAAAGCACTTCTAAATGAGTAAAAGTGCTTCTGTCTTTTAAAAATGGTGTTTGGCAAAAATTGCAAAAGCGCTTTGGGTGAGATTCAAAAGCACTTGGAGTGGTTTTGGAAGAAGCACTTGAGATGTGCTTCTTCTTAAAAGCGCTGCAGGACAAAAACAAGGGAAGCACTTGGCTCCCTTTAATGAAACTTTTAAAATGCCAAAAATACCCATATTTAATTTTTTTAAATGCCAAAATACCCTTTCTTTTTCTTTCTTTTCTATCTTTTTCTCTCCTATTAAAACCAAAACACTACCCGCGAAAAGGCCAACAGACGCCAAAACACCCATACCTTTAAGCTTCTATTAATCCATCACTATCTTTACATTTCACAACTTTTTTAAGCCGTGTTTTTATTTTGGAATCCTGTTAATTTTTATTTCCTATGTTTATTATAATATTTTGGGAAAACCCTTTTAAATGTGACATCCAAACGACAAACTGTTTCTTTGTAGAAGCGTTTATGTCATAAGTGCTACTGGCATAAGCGCTACTGACATAAGCGCTTCGAGAAGAAGCACTCCCAAACGAGCTAGTTTAGTTCCTGATTTCCTACTCTAAATAGAAATATGAATTTATTATTTACGTGCCCATTAAAGTTTCGTTATATTATAAATATGACCTCATACAAGGAGAAGGATACACAGAAAATTCCCACAAACAAATATTCTCATATTAGGTTTTATATTTTAGCATGGTATCAGAGCTTGGTGAAGAGCATAATTAGAGCAACTTGAAAAATGAAGAAATTCACCTCTGTACAGAAACGATTGATCGTCCAAACCCGACGATCAATCATCCCAAGTCTGGAGCACGAGATTGCTCTCTACTGAAAAGCGATCAATCCCCCATTCACAGTGATCAATTGCCTGACCCACCTGACCCGTGCGAAGATGTTTCTAATCTGAGTCCCACACCTACAGACAATACAGAACAATGAGATGAATCTAGAGGATAAATCTATTGGATACCAATTACCTTTTAAGAAAAATCGTGGGAAGCCACCAAACCGTTATTCACCTAATATTGGCAAAATATCAAAGTATCCAATTGCAAATCATGTATCCACTGAGAATTTGTCTAAACCACTCAAGGCCTTTATGCACTAGTTGTATGTTATTCATAACCAAGGTTGCTGAAGCATTGAAAGATCCTAAGTGGGTTCAAGCTATAAAGGAAGAGATGAAAGCTCTTGAAAGAATCAGACTTGGACATTGGAAACTTTACCACAAGGAAAAAAGATTGTCGGATGTAGATGAGTATTTACTATAAAACACAACGCTGATGGATCTATTGAGAGATACAAGGCAAAACTTGTGGCTAAAGAGTACACACAAACTTGGACACTGGGAACTTTACCACAAGGAAAAAAGATTATCAGATGTAGATGAGTGTTTACCATAAAACACAACGTTGATGGAGCTATTGAGAGATATAAGGCAAGACTTGTGGCTAAAGGGTATACACAGACTTATGGTGTAGATTATGAAGAAACTTTTGCACAACTTGCAAAATTGAACACAGTTAGAGTGTTACTGTCCCTCGCAGCTAATTTGGACTGGTCACTACACCAGTTTGATGTAAAGAATGCTTTCCTACATGGAGAACTCACAGAAGAGGTTTATATGGACATTCCTCCTGGATATAATACTACTCAGACTGGAACAATATACAAATTACAAAAGGCGTTGTATGAACTGAAATAGTCACCATGTGCATGGTTTGGATGGTTCACCATGGCAATGAAGAATAATAATTTCAGACAAAGTAACTCAGATCATACTTTGTTCTTGAAACATCATAAAGGGAATGTAACAACTTTAATAATATATGTTGACGACATGATTATTACTGGGAATGATAAACATGAAATATCTCAACTACAGGACTATTTGGCTACTGAATTTGAGATGAATAATTTAGGTGGACTCAAATATTTCTTGGAGATAAAGGTGGCCCGATCACAACAAGGCATATTTCTCTCTCAAAGGAAATATGTCTGGGACTTGTTGACAGACACAGGAATGCTAGATTGCAAACATGTAGACACTCATATTGTTCATAATCACCATCTTGGAGAATACTCGGATCAAGTTCTAACTAACAAAGAAAGATACCAAAGGTTAGTGGGAAGATTGATCTACTTGTCTTATACTCGACCAGACATTGCTTATGCGGTGAGCGTCGTCAGTCAATTTATGCATTCTTCGAGTGAAGATCACATGAATGCAGTTATTCGAATACTTAGATATTTGAAGTATGCACCAGAAAAATGACTTATGTTCTCAAAACATGGTAATATGAATATTAATGGTTACACATATGCAGATTGGGCAGGAAATATAACATATAGGAAATCCACATCCGGTTACTTCACATTCATAGGAGGTAATTTGGTTACATGTAAGAGCAAGAAACAGAAGGTGGTTGCCTTATTTAGTGCAGAAGCCAAGTTCAGAGGTATGTCCAAAGGAATTTGCGAACTCATTTGGTTAAAGAGGTTGCTTACTAAACTTGGGTATAGACCTACATTTGTAATGAATCTCTTTTGTGACAACAAGGCTGCAATAGCTATTGCACATAATCCAGTTCAACATGATCGCACCAACATGTTGGGGTAGATCGATACTATATCAAACAGAAGCTCGAAGCTAAAGTGATTCAGTTTCCTTTCGTCAAGTCGGAGGATCAATTGGCAAATATTTTGACAAAGACGATTTCAATAAAGCATTCCACAATTCACAAGATTAGTTGGGCATTGGTAACATCTTTGCACCAACGTGAGGGAGAGTGTTGGTGCGACTTGTGGACCATTGACTTACTTTCCTTTCACACCAAGAATTCTTATTAGAATTGTAATTGATTTACCTTAGTTCCTGATTTCCTACTGTAAATAGAAATATGAATTTATTATTTACTTACCCATTAAAGTTCCATTGTATTATAAATATGACCTCCTACAAGGAAAAGAATACACAGAAAATTCCCACAAACAAATATTCTCATATTATGTTTCATATTTTAGCAGAGAGTCCTTAGTTCGTTTGCATCAAGGTCTAAAATATCAATAGTATCGGAAATATCAGTAAAAAAAACATGAAAATATCAGGATATTATCGATATCGATAAAAATTGAAGAAAAAAAAACACTGAAATTGTAAGAAAATTTTGGAATTTTTTTTTGAAACTTTGTAGGATGTTTATTTAGTCAATTATCTATTAGATTATCACAAAAAATTGAAACGAAAAGCATTGCATGACAGGTTAAAATTATTTAAGTTGATTATATAGCGAGTTGACAAATACGGTGAGTGTAGAAAATATGTAGTAATTAATGAAAGAAGATTAAGAACACAATATATAATCGTTTATATATAATGATTTACTACAATATTTTACACTTTATACATTGCATGGTAAGATGCATGAGTGACTTAGTATCGCATATAGTTCCCCTTTGCGTATTATCACAAAAACATAAGCAATATGGTGGTTAAGGCGTTGGATGAGTGAAATGGCAGGGGTTTGAATGCCCTTTGCGTGTGTGTTTTGTGTTTTTTTTTCTTTCCATTTTTTCCATTACATCGATATTATAGCGATATTTCGACAAAATATTGCTGAAGTGTGAGCAAAATTATTGACATCAATATTTTCCAATATTATCATCGCTATTATCGATATTTATACGATATGTGTATAGATACGTTCCGAAATATCTGTGACCTGAAAAAAACAATAATATCCTCGATATTTTGTCGATATTATCGATATTTTAGATTATGGTTTGGATGAGGGAAATAAATTTGGGATTTTGACAAAACTCATAATTTCTAATTTAACATGAACCAATTCTTGTGTTTGGATAAAAAAAAACATAGAAATTTAAAAAATTTGCGTGGGAAAAACCATGGAATTTGGAGGTCATAAATCCCAACTTTAAATTCTATCTAAAAGTTGTCATTTCTAAAATTCCAAGAGAGATTGATTTTAAAAAAAAGATAACTTTACTAATAAAGGTTAAATTTTGTAATTTTAATCTGTCACCCATACAAGAGACTTTACATATTCTAGAACATTAATTTTCGTCAATTTAAATTCCTTTATTTATGAATTCCCTTGTACTTTTAAATTTCCTCATCCAAACGCACTGTAACAAGAAAAAATTTCTATTTTTTTGGTTGTAGTGGGCATTGAAGGCAAGGCCCAACAACTCATTTGGGTCTGCCTTACCATGCATCTTTTTTTCTTTTTTGGTTTTTCTAATGACAATGGGTTGAAGGCCATAGCTACTACGCTTCTTTATGGCTTGTTTGGAAGTGATTTGGTCCCATAATCACTTATAAGAAGAAGCACATTCCACTTAAGTGATTTTAATCGCTTATGGGGAGAAGCACCTCCCGGTGCTTCATAAATAAGTGATTCTCCATAGAAGTGATTATTGGGTTATTCATTATCACTCTCAAATGAGCCCTTAAGGCCAGTTTGGGATTGATGTCACTTTAAAAAAAAAATTGTTTCTGCTTAAAAGCAGTGTCAAAATCATTTGAGAAATTTTAATATAAAAGTGTTGTAACTATGAATAATGACTCAACTAGACATGATGTTGAAAGTGTTATGCGTTAATCATGTGGTGGTGAAAGGGATGGAGGTGATGGTGAAAAAGGTGGTGGCGGAGGTGGTGGTGGTGGTGGTGACGATGAAGGTGGAGGTGGTGGTTGTGGTAGTGGTGGTGGTGGGGATGGCGGTTGTGGAGGTGGTGGTGGTGGAGGATGAGGAGGAGGTGGTGGTTGAGGGGGAGGCGTGATGGTGGTGGCGTTGGTGGAGATGGTAGTGGTGGTTGTGGAGGTTGAAGATGAGGTGGTGGAGTGGTGATGGTGATGTTAGTTGTGGAAGTGATGGTGGAGGTAGAGGTGGTGCATATGGAGGAAGGATGTGGTGGTTGTAGTGGTGATGGTAGCGGACTAGCAGGAGGAGGATGTGGCGGTGGTGGCAACTTGGTGGTGGTGGTGGTGGTGTTGGTAGTGGAGGTGGAGGAGGAGGTGGGGGTTGTGGTGGTGGAGGAGGAAATGGTGGTAGTGGCGGTGCTGGTGGAGTTGGTGAAGGTAGAGGTGGAGGTAGAGGCAGTGTCATTTTTAAAAATTAATGATTGTATTTTGGAAATTTAAAAAAATTCTTTTAAGACTCATCTCTGCTCCTTTTGAAAGTGGCCTTGAAAAACCTTTTAAAAGCTGCTGTGAAAAGGCTACTGCTTTTAAAATAATCGAGATATTTTATTTGAGTATTGCTAAACGAACCTTAAAATTAATTAAGTACACCACGATACTGCAATAGAGCTGCACATGAGGTAGCAGCCTATGTAAGTACATCCTAATATTTCAATCAAAATATAAAATTAACTAAGTACAACCTATTTTACTACCAAAATACTCTTTGTACACCCTAATACACTCTTTCACACAACACCCTATTTGATATTCATGTTTTAGTTCGACAGTTTAGCCAAGTGGTGTTTTCTTTCACACCACGATACTGCAATAGAGCTGCACATGAGGTAGCAGCCTATGTTTCTAGGATGGGTGGTAATCATGTCTCGAATCAAGCAGGTCCAACATGGGTCCTTAATATTTGGCTAGTGATGTAAACGATCTTATTCATCTTTAATAAATTTCCCTAATGTTTTGAACAAAAAAAAAGGATGTACTAGTAGAGTTACAATTGTTAGAAAGCTCACAATCATCCCACCTAGAAGAGCCCTATCGACAACCCTTCATTCACCCAAACTTCCTTGGGTCTGCTCTTGCTTTTAATGGGGTCACAATCCTATTTCATTCTCCACAGGTTTCCCAATATGGTTCTTTCCCTTCCTCAGTAGCCATCGAATCAAATTTTTGCTATTCCCATCTTCCAGCATAACGTCATTCATTAGGTTTCCCAACATGGTTTCCCAACATGGTTCTTTCTCTTCCCTAGTACCCTAAACTCTATTGAACACTAACAAGTCTCATAATAGTTGGAACCAGAGAAACATTTTTCCTGCTTAGGCCTGTCATTAGGGTTGAATATGGTAAGTATGGTGTACTAATTAAAATTATATTTGTTTCACAATTCAATATATTTTTTTTTATCATTTTATATTATGGTACATTAGTAGTTCAATAAATACTTTTCGTAGTAGGGTGTACTTAGTTAATTTTAGGGTTTGTTTAGCAACACTTTTTTATTTTTACCAAACACCTTAAACTGCTTAACTTTAAAGTGAAGTAGGTTTTTGGCCAAAAAAAGCAATCCCAAATGGGGCCTTAGTCTTTCAAGCGGTTTGACCAAAAAAATAAATAAATTATATATGCATCTTTATTTTTTAGCCTAGTTAGAAATTTTGTATTATACATGTATATATGTAAGTATTTTTTGTACATGTCTCAAAGACTTTGTAAAATACACTTTTTTAAAAATGAAACATACAATACACGTGTATACATATTCTTCACGTTTAATATACATACCTTTTACAAAAATTTCAATAATACGGACAAAATTCACGTATTTATTATACACATATTTATTTACAAGTTATTGAATAAATATAATATAATCTAACGGCTGAATTTTTCATTGTATTTGTAAAAAACTTTACCGAATAACACATGTGATATTGATACAAAAAATAATATATGAACTGTTTTATGTGTATTCTTCTCCTTGTAGGAGGTCATATTTATAATACAAAAGAACTTTAATGGGCAAGTAAATAATAAATTCCTATTTCTATTTACATTAGGAAATCATGAATTAAAGTAAATCAAATATAATTATAATGGGAATTCTTGGTGTGTAAGGAAAGAAAAATATAGTCCACAAGTCATGCCAACATGAACATCAAATTTTTGTAAGCAAGGCAAGCATTAGTTATGTACTTTTTTATATTTATAATTTAGGGATATAATTAGAAATTTTTTATATAAAAAAAATTGTTTTTAATTCTTGCACCAACCAAATACAGAAAATGATAGTTACTGATCATTCAATTTTGATAATATCCTTATCCAGTTTTGTCCTTTCCTTTTTTCTTTGTTCTTTTGTTTATGTTGTTAATATCTCTCAAGTATAATCTGAAACAATTCAGTTATCTCATATCAATGTTTACTTTTCTTGTATTATTATGTGACAAAAAAATAAATAAGAAGTAAATCAGGAAAATAAATCTTATGTATTATTTGTGATCCTATGTAAACTTGTCTTGGACTCTAAGACGCATGATTTGTAATCCTACGTAAACTTATACTGCGTATCGCTTATAAAGATTTGCCAAATCTCTTGTTAGAATTCTTGTGCTGGTAAAGAAAAAAATAATAAAGAAAAACAGGTGGTGTGTGAGGAATTGACGAAAGAGAGAGAATTGAAGATGCAAAGCTGAGTGTTAGGTGAGGTAGTTTCCAGATCCAGTGTCCACCATTTTCCTTGTTTTATTTCAGTTACGCAGTTGGTTTGGTAAGACAAGGTGCTGTCTTGAATTTACAAGAATACCCTTACAAGCACATTCAAATAGAATGTGCGTCAAAAGATGCTTGCCCGTCCATCTTCCAGTCAATTTTCCGTCCCGCGAGGATCTAGCATTCATCAAAATTTCGCTCCCTTTTCTCACTTTCATATTTTGCCCCAAAATATCTTCTTAAAATGTTCTTTTCTTTTGTGTTTTTAATACAAGCGATAGTCTAACTACAACGGAAAGAGGAGTTTCACACACTATCACATTGTCATGGAAGTTTGAATTTGAGACAACTTATCTGCAAATCAAGACCCTTTTCCACTAGCCTAAACTCCTTCGACTTTTTTTTCCTCTCTTGTTTTTGTCGTCGGCTTTTTATGAATTTAAATTAATATACTTAAAACGACTGCTGCAACACACAGGTTAGGGGGTTAAATCAGCATTATAAGGTCAGTATGATGGATAAACATGTTTAGGGTCTTCTTCTTATTTTCTTGTATCTCCTATGTTAAATTTAATTTTTTATGCTATATAAAACCACCTAGTATTACTTTCTATATGTCCATCCTTTTCTTCATCTATTAAACTATGTGTAACTTTTTGTATTAGGAAAGAAGATGAGGGACCAATAAAAAAAATAAAAAAAAGATACGGGGGATATAAACTTAATGTCAATCTAGAAAATAACAGCTATATTATAAAAGACAAAAAATGAGAAAAGATGTACACAAAATGTGACCAATGCACATACTGAAAGGTCAATAGAATTCTAAAACATAAGGAAATAGTTCAATTTCCTATGGTGGAGGTTTGTAACTTCGATGGAGACTCAAAGCCAAATTTTGAACCTAAAACCTATTCCGATATTAAAAAAAATATCACTAAATATTTACCAATATATTACATTGGTCAAAGACTAAACAAACAATGATACAAAGAAGATCATTGACGGATCTTGAAACCAACACAATAATCATGCTTTTATATCTACGATTCTAGAAGGTGGTATTCCTTTGAAAAACACTTTTACTCTCAATATTTCCACATATTGCTTTTTTTTCTTTACAGAATATTTCCACATATTGCTGTAAGAATAGTGAGATTCCGCTAATTCATATAATCAATTTAAAAATTTTAAAACATTTATTACGAGGAACATAAGGGTTAGGGTTAGTACTGAATGGCATTAGGGGAAATCAGTGAATGAAAATAGTTGGGGCAAATCAGTGAATGAAAAAATATAAGGGATGTGGGTATGTCGTAATAAAATGGGAAAAGAAGGGGCACTTGGAAATAAGAGAAGAAAGAGCAGAGTGAGCAGGAGGCTTTGGTTTTGGTTGGTATTATCGCCAATGGCCGGGCCCGTTTGCACTCTATAAAACCCGTCATTTGAAGACCCGTCACCAGACACCAGACACGAGACGCAGCAACGCTTTTTTCTACTTTACACCAAACTCAATACCCACCAAATTCTCTCTGTGCTCTCTTCTCTCTTCTCTCTCACTCAATTCGTCTCCATGGATTCAGACTATGGCATTCCCAGAGAGCTCTCTGATGTTCAGAAATTCCGATCCCAATATCAACCAGAGCTTCCTCCTTGTCTGCAGGTCCCTCTCTTTACTCTTTGCTGCTTCTTTTTTCTCCTTTTATTTATTTATTTATTGGTTCCGTCGTTTGAGTTGTTTCTCAGTACTTTCATTCTTTTTCGTGTTTTTACTTGTCTAGTTGCAGATCCAGTTATGATTAGGTCTAACTGAGTATTAGTACACAGAAGTAGAAGTTTGGTGGATGGAACTCCCTATGATTGAATTGAATTGAATTGAATATTTACTTTGTTACTGAAGTGGTCTGCTTGTTGCTTTGCCTAGTCGTTAACTGTTGCAGATTTGCTATTTGAAGGTTTGAATTTATAGTGATATGATCTTAGAGTTTATATCAAACCGATAATCTTAGATATGAAGTATGAACTAAACATGAAAGGGGACGGGTTTATGGCTTTTATCATACTAGTTAAGTCTAAACTCGGGAACGAGAGATATATGTTTGACTTGGTCTCTGATTGCTGTGCAATCAATAAGAACAGACATTTAGGTGTATTTGCTGTGCAATCTCTGATTGACTAGAGGAGTTTTTCGTTTTCTCAACTTAATTGTTTTGATTTTTAGGATTTATCAACTATATTTAAATGGGGTGAATCTTTTACTCCCGGCGGTTGAAATTTTTACTGAGTTCATGTTTATACATTGTCATTTCGCAGGGAGCTACTGTAAGGGTTGAATTTGGTGATACAACCACATCTCTAGATCCCACAGATGCCCACACCATTGGCCGCTACTTTCCACACACTTATGGTCAGCCTCTGGCTCACTTTCTCAGGGCAACTGCAAAAGTCCCTGGTGCTCAGGTTATTACTGAGCATCCGCCTTTTAGGTATGTGCATATGTTGCATTTTAACCAGTTGTATAATAAAGTATTTTCTTGAATTGTAATGGCACCAGTTAAATAATTTGTTTGCTGTTGTACTGCCAATTCTAAATCTTATCCATGATTTCCAGCAAGTTCCATCTTTACTTTTTGTTGTGTGAATTTAGTGTCTGCATGCATATCTCTCTCTCTCTCTCTCTCTCTCTCTCTTTTTCTTTTCTTGCTCCCTGAGTTATCTGCCTATTATATTCCATAATGTATTAGTATTGGTTGTTTGGTGCATTATGATGTTTTAGTTATATCTTTGGCTTGATCGATCTAAACATTTTGAGTATTTAAATTCTTTCTTTTGAACAGGGTGGGAGTTGTCTTTTGTGGGAGACAATCTCCTGGAGGACACAATGTCATATGGGGTCTCCACAACGCTCTTAAAGTTCACAACCCCAAAAGCACCTTACTTGGGTTTTTGGGTACGCTTTGTCCTTTTCTTTGGGTCTTTGTATCTATATTCTGTTGTTGTTTGCATTGGTTTTTTGTCTTGTGTATATGTGTAAAATGATTTCATTGGTTGATGTGGAGTTTTATGGATTCATGTATATGTCACTCATCAGGGAAGTTGACATTACTTATGACGACAATTTTATTTGTTAACAGGTGGTTCTGAAGGTTTATTTGCACAAAAAACTCTTGAGATAACAGAGGAAATTCTTGCAACCTACAAAAATCAAGGT